ACGGGAAAACGCTCTAAAAGCCCCGGCACGCCTGAGACCTGCCGGCACGGGGCAGGGGAGCCTCATGGGGGGAAGCGGGGAGCTGGTGGCAGGTGCAGACCCAGCCCGTGGCCAAAGCGCCCCGCTCTGAATGTTCATGGAGGGGGCCATGCTCACACTGTGATTCTGCACCCTGGCCCCTGCCTTAGCCAAAGAGCCTGGCCCGGCTCTGCCCTGTCTGGGGCTCCCTGGCCACAGGGATGGCTCCCCCGGCCGGCTTTCCTCTTTCATTCCTTTGCTGGATGTGGAATCGTGCCTTGGGCTGCAGCAGCCCTTCCCTGGGACCTGGGACCCTCTTCCTCCCTGCTCTGCTCTGCCCAGCCTCCCTGGGCGCCACGGGGAGGGCAGGGCAGGGCGCTGCCACCTTTCCACTGGGTGCCTTGGTTTGTATCGCTCTTTTGTATGCTCTCAAGTGCCTTTTAATAAATCACAGCCAGAGCGTGCTGCCCGATTCCTCAGCTCTGGGCAGGGGGAGCAGGCCGGGGCGGGCGCCCCTACTGTGGGTGGGTACACACGGGGATGCTCCCAACACTCCTGGCGCCCTCACCCTCAGGGCGCTGCCACCTTTCCACTGGGTGCCTTGGTTTGTATCGCTCTTTTGTATGCTCTCAAGTGCCTTTTAATAAATCACAGCCAGAGCGTGCTGCCCGATTCCTCAGCTCTGGGCAGGGGGAGCAGGCCGGGGCGGGCGCCCCTACTGTGGGTGGGTACACACGGGGATGCTCCCAACACTCCTGGCGCCCTCACCCTGGGCGGCGAAGGAGCAGGCTGGGCCTGGGGTGGGGCTTGCCAGGGCGGTAGTGGGCTCCTCCCAGCTCATCCAGGCCCTTCCCTGCGCCAGGGCCACGGTGGGTGCTGGGGAGGTCCCTGAGTGGAGCCCGTCACCTGGGGCAGGGCTGGGCGCTGCCTTGCCATGCGCGGGGGAGACCGTGGGAACAAACTTCCCGGCCCACCTTCCTTGCCACCATTGTTGCCCAGGAAGCCGCTAATTAGTCGCTCCTGCTAATTAGCCTCATTCCTGGCTTTTGCTACCAACTGCTCCTTTTGCAGAAGGCTGCAGAGCCGATAATTAAGAACAAGAAAGTCCTTTGGCTGGTATGCCAGGAACCCAGGGAGCCTGCCAGGGAAGCAGGCTCCGGCATGTGTCACCCAGGCAGCCGCCCTGCTCTGCGGGGGGAGCCAGGCTCTGGATGGGGCTGTTGGGCCGCGCAGGAGCGAGGGATTCCCCAGAGGGAAAAGCCTCCACGCTCACTGGGACGGCTTGTCGGGGAGCCCCCGACCCTGCACCCTCATCCGCGGCCACGTGCCTCCAGCAGCCAGTAGAGAAGGTTTATTTGCTTCTCAGAGATACAGCGCAGGCTCCACATTGACACAGGAGCCAGGGCAGAGCCTTAGTCCTCTTGGGGGAGGGGTTCACAGGCCCCTGAACCCCCTTGTCCTGGACTTAGCCTGCTCTCTTCATGCTTCCCTCAGCCCAGACTGACCCAGCCCCCAGCCAGGTGTCCATCTCCGCCCCCCTCTCTTTGTCTCTCCCCTGGGAAGAGCCTTGTTACCTGCCCAGGCTGGGCCGAGGTGTCTGGGCCAATCCACATGTGGGTGAGTCAGTGGGAATCTCACCTCACCGCAGCCAGGTGGGGGCACCGGGTTACCGAGCAGACAGCCCCCCCCCATGTCACATTCACATTTGGGGGAGGGGCAGAACAACCTGCCGCA